TACACTGAACAGCATGGTCAACCTAGCGGCGACGTACAGGAACCAGGGCCTGTGGGAGGAGGCAGAGAGGCTTCAGGTGCAGGTGCTGGAGACTCGCAAGGCGAAGCTTGGGCCAGACCATCCCAATACATTGAACAGCATGCATAACTTGGCATATACTTTCAAAAGTCTTGGGCGTCTTCAAGAGGCGATTGAGTTGATGGATTACTGCGCTTCTCTTCGCCATAATGTTCTTGGTCTGCAACATCCAGATTTTACGTCTTCAATGAGAGCATTAGAGTTGTGGCGGCAAGGTAGTGTGTAGTATCTCGTCGGAAGAGTATTCACTGCAGCATACGATGTCTACTATGATGGATTGCTCGCTGCTGTTGGAAGCCGATTGTACATTTAGCATTTGAAGCAGCTTGGACGCATCCTACTGTCATCTTGCTCTGTTGATTGATCTACTGTGGTGCCGTAGCATCTATATTGAGCAAGTGGGAGGCAAGCTTACCAATGAATCACTGATTGTAGTGGATGGAACATGCGACGGGCTTGCCGTCAATTACTGCGTCTTTCGCCTCTTTTCACAATCTATCTCCTACATGAGAGAGGGACAGATCCTAGGGCTGCCTACCAACGTAACTCTCGTTCCAGGGGCAGCAGTGCATAATTCCCACCAATCTGTGCGCCATTTCGCCACTAATTCATGCGGACCACAGGTCAGATCTGACACGGTGGGTAAATGATCAGTAGCTGATCGAGGGGGTGAAAGGCGACATAGATACAGATTTGGGGCAGAATCGTAGCTTTTCCAAAGAATTTTTTTTTTTGAGATAAATAAAATAGGCAAGACTTTGCAGTACATTTCGACCTGTTTTAGTAACGATCCGTAGAGGTAATTTGCGGCTTTGAAAAGTAACAGTCAGAAATGGCGTTGGATTGTGTCTATCCAAAATGTTCAGTACAGTATGTAGAACTGAACCTTTAGTGACTAGAAGGTACAACAGCGGTACCTCCGATGGAGCTAGCGCCCCACCGCCCCACTGCCAAAGAAGGCTCCCACTATTATCCTTAATACTGAAAGAGGGACACTGTTAGTCAAATGGGGAGTTTGGATACATAAAGTCCCAGCGAAAAACTTCCTCTGGCGCGGCGCTGATTGATGTAGCCTTGATCCATCGACCCACCGCGGAAAGTCATGTGTCGCAACGAAACGAAATCAGAACTACTTGTGTATCCAGTAACAGCGAAGCAAAAAAAGATCGTAGATCTGCCGATCTTACACTACCACTATCAGGAACTGAGTGTGCTCTGTTGTAAACCTGAGTTCAGGCTCAGAAAAAGCGGTAGATCGCGGCACTACGTACTGGACGGTTCTATTGGGATGACCAGAATACCTTACGGCTTCTGCCGTCAAGAGAGGGCAGCAAGATGAGGTCACGTAACACTACAGCGACACGCCTGGCGCGACTACTTGGAGCATGTCTTCCATTTTGACACTCGAGAGCGTCCTCCCTGCTGCTAGAAGAAGGCCCTGGAACTGCATGGCGGCGTATTCCGTCAACGGGCCCCGCTGTACTTCAACCGCTGCCAGCATGCAGGGCAGCTGATGTGGCTGGCATTGGTCTCAGCAAAACACTTCGCCAAGGTCTTTCTTCTCTCAGCGCGCTCCCCAAGTTTCTTTTTCTGAGTCACCCGGGGCAACACAATCCTCGTTGCCTCCTATACAAATCCCTGGCTGTGATGTATTTAAGTAGAGTCGTTGCCACCAGACCATGGCGACTGCTAAGTATGTAAACCTCCTCCTTCGTACATATTATCCATCTACACTTATCATCATAGTTACGAAGCTACGCACAGCACACAGACTCCAAGAACTCTGTCCAGAAGTGCAGATTTCACTGCTCGACACAGTCGACTCGCTGCGCTCGCATGGTCTCAGTAGCTTGATTCCCTTGCCACAGATTATTGTTTGTGGCGACCAATCTTCAGGCAAGAGCTCGGTTCTGGAGAGCATCTCAGGTGTTCCTTCCCCTGTTCATGGGAGCCTGTGTACTCGCTTTTCGACCGAGCTCATTCTCTGGAGAACAAGGTCTGCTTCGATCGTGATCTCCATCGTCCCACACCACGCCCGCAGCGAAATCATGAAGGCAGCCTTGCATGCGTTCCATGCGGAACTGACAGACTTCAATGAGCTCCCGAGCCAAATTGAGCAGGCCAAGAGTGCTATGGACATGCAGCACGCTTTCTCCAAGGATATTCTACGCATTGAGATCCGTGGGCCTGATCGCCCACACCTTACCATTGTCGATCTACCTGGTCTGATTCATTCTGAAAACAAGTACCAATTTGCATCCGGCATTAGCCTCATCCAACGCCTTGTGACCCGCTACATGAAGCAGAAGAGAAGTATCATCCTTGCTGTTGTATCGGCAAAGAACGTCTACGCCAATCAGATCGTCCTGAAACTGGCTCGCACGGCGGACCCCGATGGCATGCGGACACTTGGTGTCATTACGAAGCCAGATACACTCAATGTAGGATCCGAATCAGAGCGAAGCTTCCTGTCACTGACACGAAACCAAGAGGTCGCATTCCGCCTTGGCTGGCATGTGTTGAGAAATAGGGACACTGAAAGGGAGCTATGGACCCTTGATGAGCGCGACGCTGAGGAGTCTAACTTCTTATCGTCCGGCGCTTGGACAAGCCTTGCACCTGAGTGTCGGGGCAGCACATCCCTGAGGGTGCGCTTGAGCACAGTACTTGTGCGACAAATCTCCCGCGAGTTGCCAAATCTTATCAGGGAAATTGAGGACTTGTCCATTCAATGCCAGGAGAGCTTGGAAAAGCTTGGCATGGCGCGAACCACTTCTGGCGAACAAAAGGAGTATCTTATAAAGATCAGCCAATCGTACCAGGAGTTGATCCAGAATGCGACTGCCGGCACCTACACCAACCCACACTTTCGTGAATCCGTTACCTCTGATGGCTACGAGAATCGTCTCCGTGCTGTTATACAGAATCGTAACCGTGTATTTGCGAAGAATATGACGGAGCGTGGTCAGCGCTACAATATCATAGCCGACGGAGGTAATGGTGCCGAGGCGCGCAATGATGTATTGACTCGAGAGCAGTACATTGAAAAAATCGTTTCTATGATCCGAAAGAATCGAGGCACGGAGTTGGCCGGTATGCTCAATCCTGTGATTGTGACGGAATTATTCCAAGAGCTTTCATCGCCGTGGGGGGAAATGGCCGAGCTGCATGTGCGGAATGTGTGCAAGGCTACTTACCAGTGTCTGAAGCGTCTGGTTGATCACATAGCTGATTCTGCAGCAGCCGAGACGATCTTCTCTGGCATATTCAAGCCGCATCTAGACGCCCTGCAGCAGAACTCGCTTGCCAAGCTGTCGGAGCTGTTGAAGCCACATCAGGAGAGTCACCCTATTACATACGACCAGCGTTTCATCAAAGATCGCGAGACTGTTCTCAATCAGCGAGAAGAGGTGCGCGTGACCGCTTTGTTAAAGGAGACGTTTGGGACTATATATATGGATGGCGAAACTTCTGTCCGCGCGTCAATTGACTTCAGCAAATTGGTACAAAAGCTCGTGAAGCGGCCAGAGTTCGACGTGGATCACTCTGCCGCTACTGACGCGCTAGACTGCCTGCTAGCGTATTATCAGGTACACCCCCCGTCACGCAATACTCAACAAACATGCCGGCTGACACAGCTCACACTCAGACTGCCTTAAGCCGATTCATCGATGATGTTACCGTGAAAGTCATCGAAACTTGCGTGGTGGGCAAGTTAAGAGAAATAATGGACCCGATGTCTATCTTCAAGCTGGACGACGATAGTATCAGCCGCTTCGCTGGCGAGACGGAAAAGTGCCGAACAACTCGAGAGGAGCTGAAGGCCAAGCAGAAGGCCCTGCAGAACGGTAGCAATGTTTGCAATAAACTTGCCGCCCCCTTCGTTCATGGTAAGGCCGATGTCTAAAATCTAGTTTTTGTGACTCCCGCTTACATAGGTAGCTTTGTATGCTGAAACGGACAGCGATGGTGGCGTTGATCAAGACGACGAATTTCTCAGCGATACAGGAAGTGAAGACTTTGTCTCAAAAGGAGAGATACCACCGTATAAGATGAAAAACGGGCACCGTTCTCCCAGCACTGCGCCCGAGGAGCCCACCAAAGAGAAAGTAGACGACGAATGGGAACGTCTTACTACGTCTAGAAGTAAGAATGACAAGAAGAAGATGAAGAAGAAGGCCTTGCTGCTCGGAGGAGTTTAGTAAGGTTCAGAGAATGCCTCAATGCTGCCGGAGAGCGTTGCAACAACCGTTCTTGCGTCGCTGGCAGTTCGCATGCCTCGAAGGCGTGTCTTGCGGCTGCTGAAAGTGCTTTATGAGAGTCGAAAGGTTTGTCGCAGAGTTGGCAGTAGGCCATTGCTTTATAGAATGAATACTACTTTATATGATTCAAATAACAAGTTGAAGGCGCAAAATGAAGGGTAGTTACCTTACTATACATGCAAGCTCAATTGACAATTGCGGCGTTACGCCGAGCAGCATCAAAAACGCCACAGCACCGAACCCAGGCGGTTGCCAGCTAGTCAGTTAAGTTCTTGTCAGATTGTGGTTATTGCCTGCTTTATCTCGGTTTGCGTGTCACTGATTCTGTCCCGCAGATGTAGTTGCGATTCCTCTACAGCCTGCCTGCATGCGGCGATAACGTATTTGATCGGATGTAGGCTCTGGTGGCACGCGCTAAGGTCAGTCGCGACGGCGTTAAGGACGCTTCACGACTAAGCGATGCCGTCATTTAGTACAGCTACGTCATAGTGCGTAATGAGGTTGTTCTCTGCCTGGTAAATGAGTTCGTGCAGCGCGGCTGCGGCGGCTGCGGAGGCCGCATTTTGATCAAAGTGCTCCATCATTTCGGCCTTCAGTACCCAAAGTTCACGTCGCCGCGAAGAAACCGAGTCGCGACGACTTTCAGCGTGCTGTGACCGTGATTCACAGCGAACTGTACTCGCCGACATTTATGTCACTACTGGTTTCGGTGAGAATGTATTCATCGGCCTGAGTATTGGCGATGACATTATGATAGTCTCGCTGAGCTGTGAGAGTACGCAAGGCAATAGAGACGACGAAACGAGATAGAGAAAACGAGTTGGCATTTGTAAGTAGCTATGCAAATGTGAACCGAAACGGTAGAAAGACCTCATCAATCAGAAAAATCCCAAGGTATTTTGATGCACGTCCGCGGGGCTCGAGCTTGCACACACTTGACCCCTTCACACCGATAATGGACGTCTCCGTTGGTTGCTTCTTAAGGGTGTAGCGGGCGCATCGGCGAAACCCAAATTGTAGACGGGCTACCCCTTGATGGGAAAGGCACTGGCTTGTCAACGAATTTGATAGCCCAGTGGCCATCGACCTCAATTTTCAGTGACCCATCTCCATCTGGAGTCATTATTTGGATGTTTGCGTATGATAACAGGAGTCGTGGTCTT